CCATCAGCCTTGAACCTGGAGTCACTGTGGCAGGGCCATCAGCCTTGAACCTGGAGTCACTGTGGCACGGCCGTCAGCCTTGAACCTGGAGTCACTGTGGCACAGCCATCAGCCTTGAACCTGGAGTCACTGTGGCACGGCCATCAGCCTTGAACAGGGAGTGCCACAAATGATGGGAAGGTCCAGTCAGCTCAGATAACCAGAAAGTAAACACAATACAAAACGCGTTCCAGTAATAAAATGGAAACAACTAAACATGGAAAGAACTCAGCAGGTACCAAAGGAAATGGATGTGAAATGATGACCTTGGGCACATAAAACTACGGGTCTCAGCGCTCTGGTCAAAGAGGCGAAGTCGGTTAAAAGGCAAGAGAATGGGTGGTCACCTGTGTCTCCTGAAGAGCACAGCAGCAGAGCAGCGTTTCTCAGAGCTCCAGGAGGCAAGCCTGAACCCCAGATGGACCTGCCCATCTACCCTGGACCCGCTAGGTGATGGACTGTCCCCGATCCCAGGGGAGATGGTGGGCTTGTCCCTCCTGAGCCCGCCGCCGGCTGACCTCCTCCAGCCCTGCCAGCCCTGGGGAGACGCGCCCTAAAAGCTGCAGGTGAGCTTCCGTCACTCAGCCGTAGAGCTCAGACGGAAACCACGATTCGGCAAAGGTTTGGGGATGACGGGGGACAGTCCATGTTCTTTCAGAAGAATGCGGCTAAGTCCTGGGGGTGGAGGAGAAGGTCAAGTAGGGTCCCCAGAGGCTCACAGACGACAGGTGGGAGTCGCAGCTGCCACTTTAAACCAGCAGGTAGCAAGAGCTCCGCAGAGAAGAGAGGAACCGGGTCACCAAGGGCAGTGTGCAGCCACCACCTGGCAGGCAAAGCATCAGCACCACAGCATCTGGTCCACGCCCCAGACCACACAGTGAGCCAAAGCAGGCTGACCCCGCAGGGACAGTCGGGCTGGGTCTGGCACATCCCAGGAACACAGGCCCGACACCTGATCTGGTCCATCGACCGTTTCACACACCTGGCCAGGTAACTGAAGATGAGTTAGCTCACATTGTCTCAGGCCCCTGACGTGGAGATTGGTCACAGCAGTGCCGAGGACGGTGCCATCCTCCGTACTTGCCGAAGGATCCAGAGTGTGTCCCCTGCGAGAATGCACATCTCACCTCCTTCAATGAAAGCGCAAACCTGTGAGCCTAAGCTGGAACGGCAGGGGGCAAGGCAGGAGAACCTGGTCGGGTGGGTGACCGTGGTGGTCCAGGGGCAGGGCATGGGGAGCCCATGGAGGTGCTCTGCACACTGAGGTGGTGGCCAGACTCTCAGGGGAACGCGGGGCTGGGATGCCTCTTGTGTATTGTGCTTCAGCAGAGCTGATGCTCACTGCGTTTGCTAAAGCCAGCTCGGTGCTCTGCTCTGTGGAGCCTGCTGGCCGCTGGCCGGGGAAGGTCCCAGCGGCTCCTCCAGTGCCCACTGAACCTGCCTCCTGGCTGCCCAGGTCTCCTCTGCACCTGCAGCGAGCCAGTCCTCACCCCCTTGAAATCCGCCTTCCGCCTGCACCTCCACACTGGACCGGTTCTGGCGACCGTCCAGCCTGAGGCCCATGGTGCTGACTCTCCTGGGCTGGCTTCTTCCTGGCATCAGCCCCAGGGCCTTCTCTGAACTGCTGTCCCTGCCCCTGATGGCCAGCCCTCCCTGGGCTGCCTTCTCAGGCTCCTTTCCCCTCGACCCTCCGCAGCGGCACTCCCTGGGCTGCCCGCTGGCGCTTCTCCCAGTAGATGGACTCCGGGGTGAGGCCGTCAGCCCCTCCGTGTCTGCCTGGCCATCTCGGGACCCTCCTTACACTCCCAAATGTCTTCTTCCCTAGCACTCCTGTCCCCTTGGGAAACGGCCCAGGCCAGTCCTGCAGGAAACCCAGGGTCACCCTGGCCCGGCCCTCCTAAGCCCACGGCCTGAAGTCTCGATGCTGCTTCTTCCAGCTGGCTCGTGGCTGACTCCTCTTCCTCTGGGTGTTTCTCAGTCTGAACACACAGGGAAGCTGGTATCCTACGCAGGCTCAGGAAGCGGGAAGTGGACGTTCAGTCTGGGGTGCTTAGTTTTAAAGCAGCTGAGCCAAGGTCCACAGGAAATGCTTCTCAGAGAACTGAGTCCTGAGCTGAAGGCTCAGAGAGGGGCGCAGGCTGGGGTCCCCAGAATGCCTGGGTTCCGGGCACACGGGGCCTGGGAGGGGCCCGCAACAGGAGCCAAAGGCTGGTGCTGAGGCAGGGGACTTGCTATGAGGGGTCAAGGGAGAGGGAAGGTTAGGGAAAGACAACAGGTGTTCTCAGAAACAAGGGATTTGTCACTCAGTCATCACGAACATCACTGTTTAATTAGTGAGAAATCGTTAAGGGTACACGTGGAAGAAGGGAGGATTTGGATACCCAGGAGTGATTTTCCCAGCGAGGGAGAGGTTGTCTGTCCTGAATGCTTGAGCTCAAATCCGTATCAAATCTAAAAATCTTCAAAGTAGGTGGCACACACCTGGGATCTGGGCTACTCAGGAGGCTGAGGCAGGAGAGTCACAAATTGGAGGCCAGCCTCTGCTGCTTAGCCAGACCCTGCCTCTAAATAAACGACATAGGGCTGAGGGTGTAGGTCGGTGGAAGAGCCCTTACCTGCATGCACAGGAAACAGGGTTCCCTCCCAGTTCTGTGGGAAAAGTCAGTCAAGACAGGCAGAAGGATTTGCAGGTAGAAACCCCATCTCCGTCCCGAGTCTGCAGGTGTCTGTTCCTGCTGGCACTTCCCCACTCGTGTGCTGGTGGCAGGTCATGTGACTGCGTGCTGCACATTAGACCCATGCCCACATGGAGCGACGCTGCGGATGGGATGTCTAGCCCCTGGGTTCAGGTGGTGGAATCCTCAGCCAGGTGTTGAAGGGGGACCCAAATGCAGATGTGATGTCCTCCGTGTTATTTTTGTGCTAAGAGAGAAGAGGCCTGGGTGGGGGAGATTAGGGAGGACAACGGGAGGGCAGGTCTGGGGAGGGATGCAGACGTGAACTCCAGTACTCAGGTGACGTCCTGAGGCAGATAAGCAAGGACATGCACGGGACTTCACGGGACTTCAGAATGTCCTGTGGACGCTGGCGTTAGAGGGCTACTCCGGCATGGCTGAGGGCTGCTTGAGGGAAGGACGCTTCTTCTGCATCCGCAATAATGTGGGAGAGTGCCTGGCCACGGGGGCAGACCCTGGAGCTCTGGAGCCACAGGAAGAGCGTGTCAGACCAGCGACCGGCCCTGAGACCTCGCCCAGAGAGCTCCTGGGCTTTCTCCCGGCTGCTGGGACGGGTGGGTGTGTGGGGCAGCAGACGTCTGTGCTGCTGCGTGTGAGCGGAAACTCGCCAACGGCACGAGACTCGGTCCTGCCCGGGTTCCACTTCTGTTTTCACTCTTTTCTTTATCTCAAGGGTCTTGAACCCTGGCGTTTCCCACTCATATAACTTCCACTCGGCAAGGCTGACACGTTGAGGAGAGTTGATTTAAATAAGTTTATCTTGTGGGCTCTCTCCATCTGCCACCCCTTACCTCCTCCAACTACTGTGACAAAGGTCTGCAGAGAGGCCAGGACACGGGTCCAGATGTCCTCGGAAGCTGCTCAGTCGGTAATCGCCTTTGGACCTGCTGAATGCACCCGTCCTGGCCACTGGGGCTCTTGTATCCAAGGCCGTGAACAGCCGTCTGGGGCTGTACTGAAGCTCTGAAGGGCGTTTCCTGTGAAGCGGTTTCTAGAAAGACGTCCAGCTTTATGAGAATCGGAGCTCATGGCCAGACATCCCCTAGCCCCGGCTCTGGCCCCCGTCTGTGATGTGGACGCTCTCCTGGGGCTGCAGTAGGCAGGTCATTTCCAGCCTCATTTGGCCCAGACAAGAAGCGAGCGTCCCCCGAATTGCAGGTCCTCCCAGGGAACGGCTTCACCACCCCTGTCTGTTCCACTTAGCCTCTGGAACCGACGGAGCAGCACAAGTGGAGGGAGGGATCTGCACGCTCAGCATCAGGCCGGGGAGATGCACCCCCACCCATGTCCAGAGGCCCCCAGCCTTGGCAGAGGAGGCAGCAGGATGGCACCCCAGCCAGAGAGTTCTGGGGGCAACAGGAGAGGCAGGGCCCGGATCAGTCACCCAGAGCCCTACCCTCGGAGCTCCTTCCTGCCACTCCCCTGGGCCCAGGTCCTGAGTCCTGGGTCCTGGGGTGGCCCTGGCATTGAGCAGTGTTCCGCTCTGGAGGCTGCAGGGCCTCCCCTGGAGAGGCCGCTCAGAGCATCCTTGGGTCTGTGCCAGGGGACCAGGGAGTGAGCGGCCGCCCATCTGTCTCCTGTTCCGAGCCATGAGAAATGGCGTGGTGATTGTGTAACACGGAGCCACCCCAAGAACAAGTTGGTCAGGCAGCGGCGGCACCGGCAGCAGCAAGCCGGAGCTGAATTCCATTTAAATAAAATGCCAAACGGCAGTCAGTGAAAGTGACATTTATGGTGTTACTACAAATGCATTCAGTGGGAAAGCGCAGCGGCAGAAGCAGGGGGAAAACCAGCCGTGGTGGAAACTGCCATCTGTATATTGTGCCCCGTTTTTAATATTCTGTATTCTCATAAAAAGTGTTGTTTCTGTCACTATTCAATCTCACAAACTCACACAGAACACTGTTAAAAGTCAGCAGTGTGTGAAATGGTATTTTAAAATAAATGAAACCCGCTCTCAGAGCTGCGGAGGAATATTGCAATGCCGGGCGCTGACAGACAGGCACTGAAAAGTAACAACCGTTATCATCTTAAAGCAAAGCGGATTAAATAAAAACCCACAGCCAGCGGTGCATTACCAAGTCTGATATTGACACAGCTGCGCCGTGGTTATTTTTCATTGTCTCATCAAGACAGAGCATCATGGGGTATCAATCTTCCCTCTGTCAGGCGGGCCCGGGTAAAGTTTTTCGTTTACATTTTCATTATATCCCTTTTATCTCTGGTGCCAGCGTCTCCTCCTAACGGTGGGGCCTAGTGACCTGCAGGGATGCCAGCCGGGACCCCCTGGTCCAGCGCTGCCCTGGAGGGTCCCTCTGCCCACCACCCAGCTCCTTCCGAGGTCACAGACAGTGGTACCCTCGAGTGACAGAGACCAGGGACTGAGCTGCAGTGGCGGGAGAGGACGGGAGCAAGAGGGCAGGAGGGGGTGCCAGGCTGAGGTGGGAGGCCATGGGGTGCTTCCTCTCCCTGGAAGGAGCAGGTGCTTAAGACATGTCTCCCTGCACACAGCTGCGCATCCTGTTGCTCTCTGCACCGCTGTGCTCCTCCCTGCACCGGGTGCTCCTCCCTGCACTGCCGTGCTCCTCCCTGCACCAGGTGCTCTCCTTGCACTGCCGTGCTCCTCCCTGCACCCAGTGCTCTCCCTGCACCACTATGCTCCTCCCTGCACTGGGGTGCTCCTCCCTGTACCAGGTGCTCTCCCTGCACTGGATGCTCCTCCCTGCACTGCCGTGCTCCTCCCTGCACCAG